GCAGATCACCTAAGGTCAGGAATTCAAGACCACCCTGGCCAACATGGTAAAACCTCATCTCTACTAAAAATACAAAAATTAGCCAGGCATGGTGATGGGTGCCTTAATCCCAGTTACTTGGGAGGCTGAGGCAGGAGAATGGCTTGAACCTGTGAGGGGGAGGTTGCAGTGAGCCAAGATCATGCCACACTGCACTCCATCCTGGGAAACAGAGCAAGACTCCATCTCAAACAAAAAAAAAGCACTCAGGAAACAATCCCTGGCACACAGGCAGTGCTCAGTACTCTACTCTCTGTCAGTACTCGCTGGGCAAAGGTAAACAAACAGGCTCTGGCCTGAGGAACTCAGAGTTACCTAAAATTAAAAAGGCCGCCAGGTGTCTCCATTTTCGCAACTCCTTACCCTTAGCATGCTCTTCTTGAGGGCAGAGATTTATTTATCCATGTGAGAAAGGGCTTAGCAAAAGAGAGCACCCAGGAAGAAGGCACCAAACCAAATAGTTTCCCAGCACCTTCTCTTAATGCTGGCCATGTGTCAGGACTTACTGACTGACTCTTCATGGGAGCAGTGTAATAGATTTCTAGAAGTTCTGTTTGGTTCCTTTTCAAATCTGCCATTAAATGGTTTTCTGCTCCCAATAGTGATGTTTAAGTTTTAAATTTTGTGTGCAGAATTTTTAAAAAGAATTCATGTCTGTGAATTACAGTACCTGAAATCTGCATTCATCTTGATTTTTTTTTTTGAGATGGAGTCTCGCAGTCTCACTCGGTGGCCCAGGCTGGAGTGCAGTGGCGTGATCTTGGTTTACTTGGTGGTTTCCTGAAGCCGAAGATATATGTGCTTTCTCAAGAGAGGTTTTTGTTTTGTTTGGGTTTTGGGGTTTTTTTTTTTTTTTTTTTTTTTTGAGACTAAGTCTCTCTCTGTCACCCAGGCTGGAGTGTAATGGCGTAATCTTGGCTCACCACAACCTCCACCTCCCAAGTTCAAGTGACTCTCCTGCCTCAGTCTCCCAAGTAGCTAGAATTATAGGCATATGCCACCATGCCCAGCTAATTTTTGTATTTTAGTAGAGACGAGGTTTCACCATGTTGGCCAGGACCGTCACAATCTCCTGACCTCGTGATCTGCCCACCTTGACCTGCCAAAGTGCAGGATTACAGGCGTGAGCCACTTTGCCCAGCCTGAGCTTTCTTGGTCTGTTATACCATGCTCTATTCCCTAGGGTACAGAAACACTCATCAATAATCACAACTTCCTAAGGAAGAGCTTTAAAAAAGAAATCCTCTTTCCTGCTCCTTCAACTGTTCTGCTCAGTACTAAGGCAGCCTTTTCCGTAGTTCCATGGGGCCAATGGTGTGGGTTGCAAAGTGGATTCATTTCACTTTAGACTTGAGGGCAACACCTCTTGGGGGCTCAGCCTACTGTGAGGAGATCTGGTATATGGCTCACCACCTTGGGAGGCCCTGGATTTTCACTTGTGTTCTTCTTGCCCTGTGTGGTTGTGTTCTGTTACTAAGAACAGGAATGATACCGAGCTCGGATTTATAATTTGGAGGCAGGTTTGCGAGAAGAAAACACCAAGCCGAGAATAACATGGTAAAAGAAGAGAATTTTATTTACAGAAGGTTATAGGTAAAGGAAGAGAATTTTATTTACAAAAGGTTATAGGTAAAAGAAGAGGATTCTATTTACAAAAGGGACATACCCAGAGACCGTCCGTCCGGACACTCAGCACCGGCGTTACAGCAGCACGGGCAAAACGCAAGTCAGAACTTTTAAGCACTCTCTTTTCAGCACCGGCATTACAGCAGCACGGGCAAAACGCAAGTCACAGCTCTCAGCAATCTCTTTGTCTCTCTCTCTCTCTCCCTCTCCTCAGCACCGGCATTACAGCAGCACGAGCAAAACGCAAGTTAGAACTTTAAGCAATCTTTTCGTCTCTCTCTCCCTCTCTCTTCAGCACCGGCATTACAGCAGCACGGGCAAGGCGCGAGTTACAGCTCTCCGCAATCTTTCTCTTCCTCTCTTTTTTCCTCTTTCCGTCTTTCTTTGGTTTTTGTCTATATTTTATATGTTGCAGTTTAACTTAGGTTATAGTAAACACCAGCTGCTCTTTGTCTTGTCTCTCACGAACATTATCATTATGTAACAGCAATCTTTGGCTTTGTTTACAGTTCTCAAAGAGACGGGAATTGGCCAGATTCCCGGCTCCTCGGACATAAGCCAGGGTCATCATGAGCTCCTAATGCCCCGGGCTTACTGCCAAAGAAAAGATAACTTTAGTTCCCAAGGTCCAAGAAACTTAGAGCAAACACTGGGCATGACTTTTTTTATATTAACCCTACAGGTTGACAAACCGAAACTCACAGGTTTAATATTGGTAAATACCCTCATGTCATATGTGGCCTTGGTGTGCCAATATCCTAATCCTGTTAACCATCTGGTTACCAGCTTTCTTTCCATAATTGGCCTGAGCATTCCTCATACTTTTAAGCACTTCAGTTTATTTATTTGTTTGATATAGGGTCTCACTCTAGCCTAGGCTGGAGTGCAGTGGTGTGATCACTGCTTACCACAGACTTGACCTCCCCAGGCTCAGGTGATCCTCCCAAACTTGTAGTTGGGACTACAAATGTGTGCCACCATGCCTGACTAATTTTTGTATTTTTAGTAGAGACAGGTTTTCACCATGTTTCCCAGGCTTGTCTCGAACTCCTGGGCTCAAGAGATGCATCTACCTTGGCTTCCCAAAGTGCAGGGATTACAGACATGAGCCACCGCACCTGGCAGAACTTCAGTGTTTTGTTTTGTTTTTTATAATTTTTTAGAGACAGGGTTTCATCATGCTGGCCAGGTTGCTCTCGAACTCCTGACCTCAAGTGATCCGCCTGCCTTGGCCTCTCAAAGTGCTGGGATTACAGGTGTGAGCCCCCACGACCGGCCGGAACTTCAGTGTTTTTAAGAGGATATTTTAATATATTGTCTAACTAGTCATTATCTTCAAGGAAGGATTAACCGAAGAAAGTAGTCTACCATTACAAAAGAAGAACCCCAGGGCTGGGCGCTGTGGCTCACGCCTGTAATCCTAGCACTTTGGGAGGCCGAGGTGGGTGGATCACCTGAGGTCGGGAGTTCAAGACCAGCCCAGCCATCATGGTGAAACCCCACCTTTAAAAAAAAAGAAAATTTAAAAATTAGAAGAACCCCAGAAAACCCACTTTCAGAGACAAAATAGGCCCAGCACAACTCCCTCCTTCATTGACCTCTGAAATTGTCCCCTGACACCAAGGCAATAATATCACAGGTAAATATCATATGGCCCAAGTACCAGGGGACACCCTCACAAGTCACAGCCACCCCTCAATATGTAGCTGTTATTCAGTGACAACTCCACACAGTGACATCATGCTAATGTCACCCATCAATGCTCTGGAAGGTGACAACTCAAAACTGTATATTGCTTCGACAAACAAGTGTTGAGTACCCACCCGGTGCCCGGTGCTGGGGTTACAGCAGAAAACAAGACAAACAAGATTTCTTCCTTCATAGAATTTATAGTTTGGCAAGAGCAATGGACAATGAACACATACCAAACAAATAAGTCCAAAGGGTAAAAAGTTCTATGAAAGAAAACAACACATAAGAACATGGTGGTCAAGCGTGGTGACTCATGCCTGTAATCTCAGCACCTTGGGAGGCCAAGATGGGCAGATCACGAGGTCAGCAGTTTAAGACCAGCCTGGCCAATATGGTGAAACCCTGTCTCTACTAAAAATACAAAAATTAGCCAGGGGTGGTGACATGCGACTGTAGTCCCAGCTACTCTGGTGGCTGAGGCAGAAGAATCGCTTGAACCCAGGAGGTGGAGGTTGCAGTAAGCTGAGATCACGCCACTGCACTCCAGCCTGGGCAACAGAGTGTGACTCTGTCTCAAAAAAAAAAAAAAAAAAGAACCAGTGTAATGAGTCAGAGTGGACAGTTCTACTTCAGATTGGATGTCTTGGAAAGTTTCTCTGATGAGGTAGCATTTGAGCTGCAACCTGACGGATGAGAAGAAGCCTGTCATGGGAAGAACCCAGGATGGTGAATACCAGGAAGGGAAAAAGCAAGTGCAAAGACCCTGAGATAGAAGGGTTCTTGGCCCAAGGAACAGAAAGGAAGCCGTTTTGGCTGGGGCGGAGTGAAGTGGCAAGTGGTGAAACATAGGATCAGAGAGGGAGACAGGACCAGATTACAGGAGGTCTTCTCTCTTAGGTCTTGGGGAGGAGTTTGGATTCAAAGAATAAATTGAAGCCGGCTGCCAGCACTTTGGGAGGCCGAGGCGGGTGGATCACCTGAGGTCAGGAGTTTGAGAGTAGCCTGGCCAACATGGTGAAACCCCATCTCTACTAAAACAAAAATAAGCCTGGCATAGTGGTGGAGGCCTGTAGTTCCAGCTACTTGGGAGGCTGAAGCAGGAGAATCGCTTGAACCCGGGGGGGGGGGGGAGGCCCCGGGGGGGAGGTTTCACTGAGCCAAGATCATGCCACTGCACTCCAGCCTGGGCGACAGAGCGAGGCTGTGTCTCAAAACGTACATACATACATACATACATACATGGAAGCCATTGAGGGACCATGTGACTGACACTCTGAGAAGATCGCTGTGGTCAAGGCTACCCCAGTCAGAACTGTCTCGCGTAAAGATGGGGCACTGCTTCTCTCTGTATCACCACCTGTCGCTCATCCCAGATCTAAGCAGGGCGACCCCTTTTTCAGGAGTCCTCCTTCCAAGTACCTGTCTCCTTTCAAACCTACTCGGGAACCTAACAGGGCCCAAGAGAAAATGCCTTCTGATTCGACAAACAGTGCGAGTGACCTTCTCGGAATCGGGCGGAGCCCACTGTGATTGGTTATAAGCTTTTGTTCTCATCCAGTCAAACAACTATCTCGATGAGTGCTATTGTCCCCTGAGACACGTACACTCTCTGATTGGCTCTCCGTGCATGAGTGACGGCAGGCACAGCCTGTAGACACCAGGACGCAGCGGCGCAGCCGGGGGCTGTGGGCGCTGCCGCTGGAATCCCTGGCTGTCAGTGCACCTCCAGCTCCGCACCCTGACCCCACGCGCAGCCCGCGCTATGGCAGCCCCGCCGCAGCTGCGGGTTCTACTCGCGGCCGTCAACGCACTGCTGCGCAAGCGCCGCTACCACGCTGCGTTGGCCGTGCTTAAGGGCTTCCGGAACGGGGCTGTGTGAGTGGGGCCGTCGGGCAGGGCTAGGGCTGAGGGAATGTCCTGGTTGGGGTCGAAGGCGCAAGTTAGAAGTCTGACGACGCGGTGCTGTGTGCCATTAAGTCTTGGAGGTCACTATCTGGCAACGGGGGCTGGATTTTGGGTTCCGCGCGCATTCCCAGCTCTGACTGAGGCTGTCTGCACATTTTCTGGGTCTTCCATGCTTTGCAACCTGGCCCTCTTGCTTTGACCTCCTCCCACGCCAGCTCCTGTATCTCCTCTTTTGGGTCCAGCTCACCTCGCCTGGCTGTGTGCCTTTGGGCCTGTCTGGCCTCAGCGGCCCCATCTGCACAATGGCTAACTGGACTCTGGCCTCTAGCCGGCAGGTGGATGCCTCCTGTCTATGCTGTCCCCAGGAAGCTGCCCATGGGCTTGCATCCTCCTTCTCCCTCCTCAACTGTAGGACTCCTTTGCTAAGTCCCATTTGGCTCAGGGGGCTCCTGGGGTGTGACAATGAATGTAAAAGAAGTTGGGACTATCCTGGCATCTTACCTGCAAGAGAGGAGGTCTTGAGGTCATTGCCCTGGCTGGTGCCTGGAGGGGAACTCAGCCTCCTTTAAACCTACTGCATAACAGCCACCATTTATTGATGTCCTGTAGAGCCAAAACCAGGGACAAAGCAAAGAACAAGCCAGGGAAAGTGGTTTGTGTCCCCCTGGAACTGGCATCCTAGTGGTAACATGGCATGGTGGGGAGGATGTGGATGCCTTGGTTTGAACCCTGGTCCCACCTACCCGTGTGATCTTGAGGAAGTCATTTAGCCTCCCTCAGCCTCAATTTCTGTAAAATGGGCTTGGTAGTAGTACTCATAGTATCAAGATTGAGTCAGTATATGTGAAATGTTGAGCACAGGCCAAGTATGGTAGCCCGTGCCTGTAATCCCAGCACTTTAGGAGGCCAAGGTGGGCACATCACCTGAGGTCAGAAGTTTGAGACTAGCCTGGCCAACATGGCTAAACCCTATCTCTACTAAAAATAAAAAAATTAGCTGGGCATGGTGGCATATGCCTGTTGTCCCAACTACATGGGAGGCTGAGGCAGGAGAATTGCTTGAACCCAGGAGTGGAGGTTGCAGTGAGCCGAGATTGCGCCATTGCACTCTAGCCTGGGTGACAGAGTGAAATTCCGTCTCAAAAAAAAAAAAAGAAAAACAAAGTAAGCTTCATGAGGCCAGAACTTTATCTATTTTGTTCCTTGGTATATTATTTTTTATTTTTATTTTTGGAGACGGAGTTTCGCTCATGTTACCCAGGCTGGAGTGCAATGGCGCGATCTCGGCTCACCGCAACCTCCGCCTCCTGGGTTCAAGCAATTCTCCTGCCTCAGCCTCCTGAGTAGCTGGGACTACAGGCACACGCCACCATGCCCAGCTAATTTTTTGTAGTTTTAGTAGAGACGGGGTTTCACCATGTTGACCAGGATGGTCTCGATCTCTTGACCTCGTGATCCACCCGCCTCGGCCTCCCAAAGTGCTGGGATTACAGGCTTGAGCCACCGCGCCCGGCCTATTTATTTATTTTTAAGACAGAGCCTTGCTCTGTTGCTCAGGCTGGAATGCAGTGGCGCAATCTCAGCTCACTGCAACCTCTATCTCCCAGGTTCAAGCGATTCTCCTGCCTCAGCCTCCCAAGTAGCTGGGATTACAAGCACCTACCACCACGCTCAGCTAATTTTTTGTATTTTTAGTAAAGATGGGATTTTGCCATGTTGGCCAGGCTGTTCTCAAACCCCTAACCTCAAGTGTATTGCCCACCTCAGCCTCCCAAAGTGCTGGGATTACAGGCATGAGCCACCTCACCCGGCCTCATGATTATATTTTCTTTTTATTTTTTTTATAGACGGAGTTTCACCTTGTTGGTCAGGCGGTCTTGAACTCCTGACCTCAGGTGATCTGCCTGCCTTGGCCTCCAAAGTGCTTGGATTACAGGCGTAAGCCACCGCGCCCAGCCAATTATATTTTCTTTTAAGATATGGCTTTCACCTTGTTGGTCAGGCTCGTCTCGAACTCCTTACCTCTAGTGATCCACCCACCTCGGCCTCCCAAAGTGCTGGGATTACAGGCATGAGCCACCATGCCAGGCCCCATGATTACATTTAATAAACTAATAACAATTCTATAATATTGATTATTAGCCAGTTAACAGTCCCATTGTCCCAGTCGTCCCGCAAATGTCCTCCATAGCTAGTTTGTCCAGGCCAGAACTCTCCAGGACATCACATTGTACCAGTTGTTTAAGTCCTTTAAGTCCTTTTTATTTCAGGGCAGTAATCAACTCCTGTCTGAGTTCGAGCACTTTGAGAGGGAGCTTGGCAGATGCAGGGAGTTGGGGGTGCTGTGTTTGGAGTATAAGAAAGCACTCTTTAGCCATGGCTAGCCAGAGGAGGCTGAGGGCCTCTTCAGGAGAAAGAGCCGTGGCTTTGGAGGGAGCTGGGGGAGGAGAGCTTGCTGGGGCTGGGATGGGGGTCCTGGCCCTCCTGCCCACTTCTAGGTAGGGGAGAAGAGGAGGAAGTCAGCATGGCCTCTACAACAATAACACTGGCTTTTAATTAACATTCTTTTGTTTTTTTTTTTTGAGACAAGAGTCTTGCTCTGTCACCTAGGCTTGAGTGCAGTGGCGTAATCTCAGCTTACTGCAACCTCTGTCTCGGGTTCTAAGCGATTCTCCTGCCTCAGCCTCCCAAGTACCTTGGATTACAGGCATGCACCGCCATGCCAGGCTAATTTTTGTATTTTTAGTAGAGAGGGGGTTTCACCATGTTGGCCAGGCTGGTCTTGAACTCATTGCTTCAGGTGATCCGCCCACTTTGGCCTCCCAAAGTGCTGGGATTATAGGCATGAGCCATCACGCCCAGCCTGGCCAACATAGTGAAACCCTGTCTCTACTAAAAATACAAAAATTAGCTGGTGTGGTGGCAGGTACCTGTAATCCCAACTATGGTGGATTGTGGGGGGCCGGCAGGGAGGGCTGAGGCAGGAGAATCGCTTGAACCCAGGAGGTGGAGGTTGCAGTGAGCCAAGATTGAATCCGGCCTGGGCTACAGAGCAAGACTCCATCTCAATAAAATATATAAAATAAAAGTAAATAAATAAATTAATTTTTTTAGAAATTAGGTAACACATGCACAAAAGGCATAAAAAGTTAGATGCTACCATCCCACCCACATTATCCCTCTGTCACCCAGTCCCTCTCCCTGGAGGCAACCCCTGTGTCCAGTCTTATGTCTTCCTCCAGAAATATCATATGCCTATGTGCCTATGCAAACACAGACTCGTGTTCTCCCCACACACCTTTTTAAAAAGTTTTATGTTGAAATAATCTTAGATTTATAATTTCCTCATTTTATACAATTATTACTGTGCTACACACACATCTGTACACCTTATTCTAATCATACCTCCATATCAGTGTGCATGAAGCTGCCCCCTTTTTTTTTTTTTTTTTTTTTTTTTTTTTTTTTTTCAGAATTTAAAGATGGGGTCTTGCTCTATTGCCCAGGCTAGAGTGCAGTGGTGCAATCATAGTTCACTGTAGCCTGGAACTCCTGGGATCAAGCAATCCTCGCACCTGAGCCTCCCAAGTAGCTAGGACTACAGGCACACACCACCACACCTGGCTAATTTTTTGTACTTTTTGTTGAGACAGGGTATCACCATGTTGCCCAGGCTCTCAAACTCCTGGTCTCAAGCGATCTACCCACCTCAGCCTCCCAAAGTGTTGGGATTACAGGCATGAGCCACTGAACCTGGCCAGATTTTTTATTTTTTGTAGAGATGAGATCTTACCATGTTGCCAAGCTGGTCTTGAACTCCTGGCCTTAAGCAGTCCTCCCACCTCGGTTTCCCAGAGTGCTGGGATTACAAGCATGAGCCATTGCACCCTGTCTTGGACACAGGTTTGATTCCAGTCTTTTGTTTCAAGCAAGCCTGCAGGGAACGTTCATATGTATTTGGGAGACAACAGCATATGGCTCATGACCATTGTCTCAAGAAGACTGTCCAGCATTTTTAGACCCTGTAGCCTGGTAAGACCTGGAGAACTTAGGCATAGGGGTAGGGGTGGAGGTGTTCAATAAAGAAGAATAAGAAAAGAAGACACACTAATATTGATTGAGCTAGGAACTTTTACATGTGTGTAACTGCCAAAAGCCACTCTGTGAAATGGAGATTGGGAAAAGGGAGGCTCAGAGAGATTAAATGATTATCCAAGTTCACACAACAAAACCTGGCAGGGCTTTGGCACCAAATACTGCTGTCTTTCTACGATTCATTTGAGTATAGTTAAAACAGCAAAAGTAAGCATAGTCTTATTCACATCATCCCCAGATCCCTAAATGAGGAATGGAAAGGAGGGATGGGGGAAGAGGTGTGAATCTTAAAAAGAAGGAATTATGTAACATTTAAAATATTTAATAATTGTGGGCCAGGCGCAGTGGCTCATGCCTGTAACTTAGCACTTTGGGATGCTGAGGGGGGTGGATCACCTGAGGTCAGGAGTTCAAGACCAGTCTGGCCAACATGGCGAAACCCCATCTCTACTAAAAATACAAAAAATGAGCTGGTCCTGGTGGCGCACGCCTGTAATCCCAGCTACTCAGGAGTCTGAGGCAGGAGAATTGCTCATACCCAGGAGTTGGAGGTTGTAGTGAACCGATATCGTGCCACTGCACTCCAGCCTGGGTGACACAACAAGACTCCATCCCAAAAAAAAAAAAATTAATAATTGCTAAAGCAGGGGGCGGGACCTAAAAAATAATAATTGTTAAAGCAATGCTTAATCATTATAGATCATTCTGGAAGTCTAGAAAACTTTAAAAAGCAAGCAGAAATAAATTTTATTTTCCTCCAGTGAAGTGGACATTGCTAATAACATAGTGACGTATTTCCTTCCAACTTTTTTTTCTTTTTCTTTTCTTTTTGAGACAGAATCTCATTCTGTTGCCCAGGCTGGAGTGCAGTGGCACGATCTGCAACCTCTGCTTCCCAGGTTCAAGTGATTCTCCTGCCTCAACCTCCCAAGTTGCTGGGACTATAGGCTCAAACCACCACACCCAGCTAATTTTTCTATTTTTAGTAGAGATGGGATTTTACCATGTTAACCAGGATGATCTCGATCTGTTGGCCTTGTGATCTGCCCACCTTGGCCTCCCAAAGTGCTGAGATTACAGGTGTGAGCCACCATGTCCGGCCTACCTTCCAGCTTTTTAAATTTTATTTTATTTTATTTATTTATTTTTTTTATGAGACGGAGTCTTGCTCTGTCGCCAGGCTGGAGTGCGGTGGTGCAATCTTGGCTCACTGCAACCTCCGCCTCCTGGGTTCAAGTGATTCTTCCACCTCAGCCTCCCGAGTAGCTGGGACCACAGGCACGTGCCACCACGCCTGGCTAGTTTTTGTATTTTTAGTAGAGACGGGGTTTCACCATGTTGGCCAGGATGGTCTCGATCTCTTGACCTTGCCTACCTCGGCCTCTCAAAGTGCTGGGATTACAGGCGTAAGCCACCGTGCCCAACCTAAATTTTATTTTTATTTATGTTTTAAGACAGAGTCTTAGTCTGTTGTCCAAGCTGGAGTGCAGTGGCGGGATCTTGACTCCCTGCAGCCTTCACCTCCCAGGTTTAAGAGTAGCTGGGATTACAGGTGCTCGCCACCATGCCCAGCTAATTTTTATAGTATTTTTAGTAGAGACGGGGTTTCACCATGTTGTCCAGCCTGGTCTCAAGCTCTTGATCTCAAGTGATCCACATGCTTCAGCCTCCCAAAGTGCCAGCGTTTTTATAAATGCATTTTTACAAAGTTGAGGTCCTCCTTCATATAATAGTTAGAAAGAGGTACATTTTGAATAGGTACAGTGTTACCTAACTGTTTTAGGAAATTTGTTAACTTTAAGATGAACCAGGCTAAATATAGAACCTTCTAGAAATGACATTGTCATGGGTAAGGGCTGTTCTAGCCTCAGTCAGTCAACAGTTATTTATCAAGCACATATTCTATGTCAGGTGCCATGTGGGGTGCTAGGGACTATGCGGATGACAAGCCAGATGCATTCCCTGTCTTCAGAGAGTCCACAGTCTAGCACAGGAAAGAGATCATTATCATAGAATGAATACTTAATAACTGAGTCATTAAATTGGGAAGATGAAGTGCTGGAGAGAAGTTTTGGGATCTGTGGGAATGAAAAATTGCTTAAACCTAGGCTGGAGCATCTGAGGCCTTTGCCCAGCTGAGACTGGAAGGCTGAGGGAAGGTGGCTGGGGAGCACAGCAGGCAGTGGGACCTGCCAGGACAAAGCCAGGAGCAGAGAAAAACCCGATGTGTCAGAAGCAGTCCAGGAAGGACAGTGTGGCTGGAGCAGTAGAGGAGGGCCCTGGGATGAGGTGTGAGAAATGAGCAGGGCCCTGGCTGCAATACTTTCAAGGCTGCAGGGAGGAGCCTGGAACGTGTTCTGTGAGTAGTGGAAAGATGTTAGAGGATTTTAAGCTGGGAGTGATGTGATGAGATTTATGTGTTTTTGTTGTTTGTTTCTTTTGACGGAGTCTCTCTCTGTCGCCCAGGCTGGAGTGCACTGGTGCGATCTCGGCCCACTGCCACCTCCACCTCCTGGGTTTAAGCGATTCTCCTGCCTCAGTAGCTGGGACTACAGGTGCATGCAACCACGGCCAGCTAATTTTTTGTATTTTTAGTAGAGACGGGGTTTCACCATGTTAGCGAGGATGGTCTCAATTTCTTGACCTTGTGATCCACCCGTCTTGGCCTTCCAAAGTGCTGGAATTACAGGCGTGAGGCGTGAGCCACCACGCCCAGCCGAGATTGATGTTTTTAAAAGATGAGAGTGTCTGCAAGGAGAACGCCAGGATGGAGCAGAGGGAGCAATTCCACAAAGCCAGTTGAGCAAGGATGGTGAACATTTTACATGTACCATCTCCTTCATTAAAATTATAGGGCCAGGCACGGTGGCTCACACCTGTAATCCCGGCACTTTGGGAGGCCAAGGTGGGCAGGGCAGATCATCTGAGGTCAGGAATTTGAGACCAGCCTGGCCAACATGGAGGAACCTTGTCTCTACTAAAAATACAAAAATTAGGCAGGTATGGTGGCGTGTGCCTGTAATTCCAGCTACTTGGGAGGCTGAGGCAGGAGAATCACTTGAACCCAGGAGGTAAAGGTTGCAGTGAGCTGAGATCGCACCACTGCACTCCAGCCTGGGCAACAAAGTGAGACTCCATCTCAAAAAAAAGAGAAAGAAATTATAACCAGCTCTCTGAGATTTAACATCCCTTTTTATGCTGAGCATGATTGGTGGCACACACTTGTAGTCTCAGCTACTCAGGGGGCTGAGGCTGGAGGATCGCTAGAGCCCAGGATTTCAAGTCTGCAGTGAACTATGATCGCACTCACTGGGTTACACTGTGAGGCTCTGTCTCTAAATAATTAAAAATAAACATCCCTTTTATGGGGAAACTGAGGCTCAGAGAAGTTAAAGGACATGCCTGAGACCATACTACCAGGAAGTGTCAGGGCCAGGATTTGCATCCAGCATGATTTCCCCTCCCAAAGTGATGTTAGAATTTGGGATGGGGAGAGAGAACAAGGGGTCAAAAGGAGAGCCCAAAAAGAAAGTGTGACACAGTGACATTGCAGTAACTGTTTTCTTCTGTTTCTACAGCTATGGAGCCAAAATCCGAGCCCCTCACGCACTGGTCATGACCTTTCTCTTCCGGCATGGCAGGTACACATCCCAAAATGGAAGAGAATGTGGTCAGCCCTCAGTGCCAGGACAGTCGTAATAGCTTCTTAGCTGGGTCTACCCTGCCCCCCGATCATGCCTCCTAAAGTCCAACTCTTTTTTTTTGTTTTGTGTTTTGTTGTTGTTGTTGAGATGGAGTCTTTCTCTGTCATCCAGGCTGGAGTGTGGTGGTGATCTTGGTTCACTGCAACCTCCACCTCCGGGTTCAAGTGATTCTCCTGCCTCAGTCTCCTGAATAGCTGGGATTACAGGCACCCACCACCACGCCCAGCTAATTTTTGTATTTTTAGTAGAAATAGAGTTTCACTATATTGGCCAGGCTGGTCTTGAACTCCTGACCTCAGGTAATCACCTGCCTGGGGCTCCCAAAGTCCTGGGATTACAGGTGTGAAATACTGCCCGGCCCTGAAGTCCAACTCTGATTCCATTATCCCTGCTTGAAAATTCTCTGTGCCCTTGCTCAAGTGTCTTCCCCTTGTTCTCATCTCCCATAGCTTTTCCCTCGAGGCACTCCTTAGAAAACAGGTTTCAGCCAGGCGAGGTGGGTCACACCTGTAATCCCAGCACTTTGGGAGGCCGAGGTGGGCAGATCACGAGGTCAAGAGATCGAGACCATCCTGGCCAACATGATGAAACCCCGTCTCTACTAAAATACAAAAATTAGCTGGGCGTGGTGGCTCACACCTGTAGTCCCAGCTACTCAGGAAGGCTGTGGCAGGAGAATCGCTTGAACCCAGGAGGCAGAGGTTGCAGTGAGCTGAGATTGCGCCACTGCACTCCAGCCTGATCTTGGTTCACTGCAACCTCCACCTCCGGGTTCAAGTGATTCTCCTGCCTCAGTCTCCTGAATAGCTGGGATTACAGGCACCCACCACCACGCCCAGCTAATTTTTGTATTTTTAGTAGAAATGGAGTTTCACTGTATTGGCCAGGCTGGTCTTGAACTCCTGACCTCAGGTAATCACCTGCCTGGGGCTCCCAAAGTCCTGGGATTACAGGTGTGAAATACTGGCGATAATGCAAGACTCTGTCTCAAAAAAAAAAAAAAAAAAGGAAAAAACGGGTTTTGGTCTAGTGTTTAATGAATATAGGCTCATGTGAATGTACAGGAATCGTGCACTGGCAGCCTCCAGTACAGTAGTCTCAGCTACCTGTAAGATGTGCTCATTTTGTATTTTTCTTGATTTGTTTCTGTTTGTTTTTGTTGTTGTC